CATATATATATATATATATATATATATATTCAAATATATATATATTCAAATATATAAATACCAGTGTCAATAAATTAAGGTAAGACTGAATTAAAAATGTAGGATTTTTTGTTTGCAATCAGTAACAAATAATTTTGTCCCATACTAAATAAAATATTTACATTTTAAAGAAAGCCATAATTAAATATTTTGTTAAAGATATTATAAAAAATAATCGTTACTTTTTTAAAAATTTAAACTAAAGCTCATGTAATTATTGAATAATATAAAACCAACAGTTTGCCGATTTAGTAATATTTCCTGTCACCTCATAATTCATAACATTCTCACATTAATATCATTTCATAAGTGTGTGTCTTTGCCACTAGATGTCAGCAGAGGACAGGAAACTAAGCACAGTGCTTCCATGATACTTAAAACGACCATTCAGATATTTTTGTCATTGGTCTAATGTGGCGTCTGTTTATTTTTCATTCTGTGAGTGAACAGGAAGAGGGAAGGGGTTTATTTTATTTCATTATTTTCTCGACACATCATCACTATTTTGCCCTGTAAAAAGCCAATAATCATACTACATCCGCCATCATCTCCAATCTAGATGTCTACGCATTTTTTTTGCGATCCATTGCCCCCCCCCACAATCTTTCTGTCCACGCTTCCCTTGACCAAAGTGTTGAACTGTTTTTGTCGCTATTTCCAGATTTGTTCATCTGTTTCCAACCTTTCTTCAACTAAAAGGGCTTTCCAGCTTCTCCGCAATTAGACGAGCCCTTGATGGTGGTGGTGGTACGACCGCAATGCATTATGGGAGGGGGTCCTCAGTGAGGACGAGCAAACAAGCGCTGCTTTATTCCCCCTAATAGCCCGCATTGCATCGTGGGTATCACCATGGCTTTCTTGGACAAACGGGAGTTTCAACTCATGACCTTCTGAGGAGCTGGACTTACAGTGTGGGCGGGAACAGGGGTGAGGGCGGGGAGGGAGAGTGGGAGGAGCCAGACCAAGGAGGGAGGGGCCACGCAGCTTCTCTACGACGTTCAGAAGATGGCCGGGAGATCTGGATCGGTTACTAATTTCCCCTTACGACGACATCTCTAACCAATCATCTCATTGGCAATTGGATCGTAACAGCCACTCCGAGCTAAATTTTCAGAAATAGCATGCAAACATGAGGAAAGCCTTTGTTTTGTGTTTGCTAGCTGATCACCAGAGTTTTCGGCAGCTTTTTTCAAAGTCATTTACATATAATTTATGTTAGATATTATATTTTTGTTCCAAGTCAAGAGTGGCCTTATAATCATAGTCTTTTTGGTCATAGTGAAAGAGTATTTCTTGGACACTTGCCCCTTGGCAGCCATGGTTGAGTTTAAAGGACATTTGGTTGGACAGAAAAAGACAGATTTCGAACTTGCGTTACCTGAACACATTGAACTGAATCATAATCAGTCATTTTATTGCTAAATGTTCATCATGCACTGAACAAACCCGGACAATAGCCATCAATAACGTCCAAAATTTAATGGAAAGGATACTTTGTAACTCAAACGGACAGAACTTTTGCGGTAATTCCGAACACTTTGCCAAGATATTCTCTTTTTTTCCTATTTATTTTCCTGTTTTGCCTGTCTTTCCTTTGAGTTCTGTGTCTGATGGGTTAGTTTAGCTGGTCACACTTCACACCGAACGCCACAAACTGCACCCCGCGGCTCCCGTGTCATCTTTATTAACAAGACCGCGGCTTTGTAAACCACGTCATACTGGAATGTGATGCTAGTCGAGGTCCTGATGCTGCACGGTCGGCATAGCGACGGATCCCTCAACAATAAAAAGATGTGAATCCGTATTCCGGATGACATAGCTTACTTGTTCGTGCCGACCGATATGCTGACCACCATTTAACTGTGAAACTGATGTCACATGATGCCCTGAAACGTCACATTGCGTTGTGATGCATTTATAAAGCTGCTCGTTTAGTTGATGCAGTTGCCGCGGCGACGCCCGGATGCGGGTTCCTCGCTCGGTGTGAAGTCTGAACGATATGAAGGCCTTCATAGACGTAGAGAAGCGTGACGGAAATGCACCGACTTGTATGAATGTAGTATCTATTTGTGACCCAGAGCCATTATTTTGTTCTTTTGTTTAATTGTTTTTGCTTATTCGTTTTTTTAATTTCATGACGATGTGCTGAGATGAACTGCTCGATGCATTGCACACGGTTTCATTTTTTTATATAATTTAATAATGAACAAATATAGACAGCCGTATATCTTGTATTGAATTTGATTTCCAATGGTATTCTATAGAAAGTATATTCTATACATATATGAGATATATGAAACAGCGCCTCTTTAGTCAAACTCTCTCTTGTGGGAACTGCAATGTGTGGCTCTGCCTATTTCCACGTAAACCTGTGACTTGATTTGTATGGTGTCTGTATATATCCAAACGAAAAAAATAAACTGTTGAAAAATACTCATTAGCCTAGTTTATTTGAGTCGATCATGAATCTTTATCTATTTCTCTCCATTTGCGAATGAGAGCCACATGTTGATTCGTATGACACCATAATGTTGTCTGTCGGGTATGAATGCACATTCATGTTGCATTGTGGGTCGTTTTGTATGAGAGAATTCATTGTTTAACGTTTATTCTTTCCCTAATGCCATTTCCAGCCACTGAAAAGCAAAGGACGTCTTGAAATCCAGAGCTGAAATGATGTATAAATTAATTCCCTAACCTTTTTTCCCTTGATTTTGCTTTGTTTGAAATGTTTGTGACTCTAACCTTAATTCTGAATCTTTTTTATTCTCGCCTGACCTGTTTATCCGATGTTTTAACAGGTGGAAGCTGTGGGAAAAGATGCACCGTATTCATTTCTTCTTGTTTCCCCTCTGCTAACCTCTCTCACATTTGTGTATAAAGCTGCATTGAATGTTCTTGTATTGTTTGAATCTGACGCGTCTGTGGTTGGTAAAGCCACAGAGAGGCGCCAAAGATCACAAAAGAGCTCTTGGGGGGTTTAGTTCTGACTTCCTGTGTTTCGTTATTGGTCGAACTTGATCTTTTCCGTTGTCGTTTTGTTCTGTGTGTCTGTCCTGGTCTGTGTAAATATATATTTATATATACTGCACGTTCAATGTGCTGCTGTATGTTTGCACCGTTCTGCTTGCGCGTTTATTTGAGCCTTTTTCTTGCGATTTTATGTTGTCCCCCACAACACACACCAACACTCGCTTCACTTTACATACACACACACTAGAGTTAAGGCACAACTCACACACACACACACACACCCTCCCCACCTCCATGTGTGTTCCCAGTTTGTTCTTTGCACTGACATCTTGTCTTGTTTCTTTGCAGTCACGGAAAGCCAGTGATCAGACAAAGAGCATTGAGAGTAAAACTGACAGTATAGGGAGTGGAAGGGCCATACCCATCAAACAGGTACGTCACCACATTCGTACACTCATTATATGAGGTAAGTACACTGTTATAGGGTAGGACTGTATATCGTTTATGAGGATTAGTCAAATGTCAATATCCTAAGTAGTGATTTTGTGTGTATATATGATTTGTGTGAGTGTGTGTGTCAGCACTAAAAGAGCATGCACACTTTTTAAAGACTGAAATTATGGACATGGTTGTTTTAGGCTTTCTCAGTCAGTTTCTTTGTGCGACCAACAGATGTCAGTGTAACACAGTTTAACTTTGTTTGCTTATTCTATCGAACCTGTTGTCAGTAATGGTATGCAGAATGCCGAATTATATGTATATTATTATAATTATATTATGTATATTCGAATATTTGTGTAATGCATATCACAATTATTTGGCAACTTACTCTTTGCTCCAAAATCTTTTTTGTGAATCAATTGCAACATTATAAGAAATTGGTATTCAGTCTTTGGCCTGCTCTTCTCATGATGTGTTTGAATGTCCATGAACTTACATGTTAGGAAATCTTCATTGTCTTTGAATCCTTAAATTTCTATTTCTCTCTCTCTCTCTCTCTCTCTCTCTCTCTATATATA